ATTATAATTTAGTTAACAAATTAATGCAAATTTCTGATAGGTTATTATAATAAGATCTTACTTTTGTGATACATATTATAGATCACTTCTCGAATGGCACTTGTATCCAATGTCGCTGTGTTGGTTACACGTTTAATATAACTCCGCTTTTTCTTGGGCGATTCTAAATTTGCATCACTTTTCACACCCTCGGAAATACGACTAACTGTCCTTAAACTAATTTTTAAAGCAGCAGCAACACGCTACAAAAAATGAAATAAAATTTCACTATTATTAATATACATTACATATAATTATTAGTAACCTACCTCTTGAACAGCATTTAAAGGCAACAAAGGCCCGTTGTTGTCCCTTTCTTGCTCAAAGTAGTGCATTAACGAGGCCACGAGTTCCTTACACCGACTATTTAACTGTTTGGGCATCTTTATATACCAAAATTGCCTTTATCTACTCGTAAGATGAATAATTTTGTTTTGAAACAAACAGTTGTTGATTTACAGTATGCGGGGCCAAAGGATTTATAAAGATTTGAAATGCCACAAATTGATTCAGTGTCAAAATTAATACAAATGTCAGTTCCCAGTTTAAATAAGTTTCAAGGTGACAATGTGTCAACGCTGCGAAATCGGTTTAGTGCGTTTACATGTCGATAAGTGATTGGAGCGTTTGCAAAACATTTTATTTCGCATAATGCGTCTAAATTTATCAGAAAGCAACTTATGTGATATTTTAATAACAATGTTTATATGACTATTAACCATAATAAGAGAGTAATGACCATTTTACAATTTATATATCACATTAATATGAAACTGCAATAGAGCAATTGTTTGTGATAGAAACCTAGGCATTAGGTCGGGGAATTTTTATCGTGATGACGTGCACGCCACTTTGTTTGGCGTTGACTATAGAGCAATTGTTTGTGATATAAATCTAGGCATTAGGTCGGGGAATTTTTATCGTGATGACGTGCACGCCACTTTGTTTGGCGTTGACTATATTTACAGTTATATGAATTTGTGATTTCTAACCAAATTATACCTGAATCACAGTCTGGATTCAGAAGGGGCTATAGCACAACTTCGCTCCTTTTAAATGTATCAGATGATATTATTAGATCTCTCGACGCTGGCCTTGCTACAGCTCTTGTATTTCTTGATTTTTCGAAGGCGTTTGATACGATTGATCACTGCTTACTTCTTGCAAAGTTACGATATTATGGTATAAATCAATTGGGCTGCCGACTTTTCAAATCTTACCTTCAGGGCCGTTACCAATGTGTTGTGGTTGATAATAGCTCGTATTCTGACTTCCAGCCTGTGACTTCTGGAGACCCTCAAGGCTCCATATTAGGACCTTTGCTATTTATTATATATACGTCTGATATTTTTAAAACTATCACTTATTGCAAGATACAAGGTTATGCTGATGACACACAATTATACCTGTCGTTCGATCCTAGATTTATAAATACCGCATCTGCTTATATTAATCAAGATTTAGAAAATATTCAAAAATATTCATTTAATCACAACTTAAACCTCAATCCAGATAAATGTCAAGTTGTTATCTTCTCTCCGCCATGTTATGAAATTTTTATGCAGCATATCGACTTAACATTAAATGGAAAATCAGTCTCAGTAGTTAATTGTGCAAAGAATCTTGGTGTTATTTTCGACTGTAAGCTCAGATTTGAAGAGTACGTCTCACTATTAGTGAAAAAGACTTACCTAGTTTTAAGGCTACTGTATCGAAATGGTGGTATTTTAAATTTTAAATTACGTAAAAAGCTCTCAGAGAGCCTAGTATTACCTATTTTAAATCATGCAATCACGCTTTATTATCCCTTCTTAACGTCTATTTTGAAATACAGACTTCAAAAGGTACAAAATTGCTGTTGTAGATTTGTTTTTAGGCTCAAAAAGTTTGATCGAATCTCAGCTAAAATAAATGAGTTAAAATGGTTAAAACTGGAATATACTCATAAATATTATACTTCTATTTTAGTTCACCGTATTTTATCATCACAGAGCCCTGCTTACCTGAAAAGAAAATTAGTCTTTAGGCGTGATTTGCATGATTTAAATACGAGGTTCACTAATAAACTTTCTCTTCCTAAGTTTCGTTTATCTTTATTTAGAAAATCTTTTTCATATAATGCTGTTACTTTATACAATAGTATCGATGACGCGCTTAAGTTTAGTTCTGTACCGATGTTTAAAGTCCTGGTAAGGCAATTTTATTACAATAGTCAATGTAATGGATAGTTCAATAGTTTTTGATTATATACTCTTCGCTTTGCGGTTTTGTGTCTTAGGCTTTTTTTTATTTTCATTCAAATTATCTCATATTTTCTATGCTATTTTGTATTTGATCACTTCTGATGATTGCATTTTATGTATTATCTGTGGCTTTCTTCATTGTTAGCTTTGATGTAGGGTTAAGTAGAGTAGCTTAGGCTAGACTTCGCCCTGTTGCATTGTATATAACAATACTCAATAAAGACATAATAATAATAATAATAATAATAATAATAATAATAATAATAAGTAAATTTTAATGAAACAGGAGCACCGACTCCACTGACACAATACATGAAAGAATTTAATAGAAATCTTGAAAATCAAGCGGGTCCATCGAATATTTCCAATATTCCCAATCAGACCGATAACTATTCGATCGCACCTCAACCCAATGATTTAGATAAAATTGATGAAAATGAAAATTATTCATCAGGACACACCGTTCATTCTAATATAGAAAATCCCACGATAAATATTCCAATTAGTGATACAGCAGTAAATTGTGCAAAAAATCAAATTATTATTTCTGAAGTAAACCTCGAACCAGCTGATCCAGTAATTAGTAGATTACATGTGAATAAACAGCGAATATCCGTTCAATTATCAAAGAACAATTTTGAAGCAGATACAATTAAATTTGTAAAAGAATTTATTGCACCAAAGGTAAAATATTGTTTATATTTTGAAGACCCAGTCTATGAAAAGTTTAGCGTAGTTCTTCAAACATATTTCAAAAAAACCCAAATAAATCTAGTAAAATTCACAAAGAAATTGATAGACGTTACAGATCAAAATGAAATTAAAGATATAATTAAGAATTATCACGAAGGTAAAACCAATCATCGAGGAATCGATGAAACTGATAAAAGAATAAAACAAATATATTATTGGCCGAATTTAAGAAACTCGATACAGACTTATATTAATGAGTGTGAAATCTGTCAGTTAACAAAACACGACAGACATCCGTTAAAACTTGAATATAATATTACGCCAACGCCTACGAAACCATTCCAAATTTTATACGTAATCACATTGAATTTATTCCCGAAATTAACCAGTATTTAGCTGTATTTCTCACCGAAGAAAAATTGAAAATTAAATGCAAGAAGCAAATCGATACAAAGTCATTACTTGGCATTTTCTTAGCCAAAGCCAGTGAATGCCAAATATCATTCCAAGACAATGAAATTATCTTTCAAGACAAAACCTATGGAAAGCCCCTCGTAGCTGACAAAATGGATCTCCATTTTATGAAACAAAATATCACAGAGACACAAATTACTCTGAAAACGTTAAATTCACCAGAATTACAAGTTAATCGATTGTTACCAATCTTAGAAGAAAATTTCATAGAAAATTTTGGAAAACTCAGTATTTGGACCATATTACTATATCTCGTATTTTCAAGCATCTGCTACATAATTTTATATAGAAGATGGAGAAACAAGAAAGCATCCAAGTTAGAAATCGATATTGAATTAGCCGAGATGAAAGAAGAAGGTCCAAGTCCCACAAAACGCACTAGAAGAGAAGATTCCAGTTCAAGATATAAAAAGAAAGAAATTCACCTTCCAGGGGAAGCTTCATTCTAGTGGTGGAGGAGTTATGTACCAGTCTATAGAGAAGAAGATGCTGAACAAGGACTTTTGCCTCCACGTTCCTTTCTTATCAGTTTCAGTATTGTATTTTATTTGTTCTTTACTTTGGTTACTTTGCAGTCAGTCTCGATTCAGAACTCATTCAATTAACATCATTGTATTTGGTTTTTCTCAAAAATAATTCTTTTTAAAAACGTTTTCGTTGAAGAAGGATATTTGAGTTGTATAGATATGAAAACATTTCATCATTTACAAAAGCATCGCAGAACGCTAAAGCCGTACGTATTCCTTATAACAAAATATTCCTAAAATATGTAAATACTCCCCTGTAGCGATGTGTCCGTGTCGACATCGAGTTCGAGGTTGTTACCTATTTATTGCTCTTGCTATAGTTGGCAGTGACACCACGGCGATGCAGCGTCTCAGTATCGGGTCGCACACAACGCCGTTTGAAAGCTATTTCAAATTATGAGCACATTATACATTTAATTTCCCCGTGATTACCGCGATGAGAAGCTTTGTGGTGACAGAACGCCTTTGACTCATACTGTAGACATAATATTTATCCCCCTATCCCCTACATCTTCTAATCCACACGCAATTTTTTCGAAAAAACGAAGTTTGAGGATTTTTATTTCTTATTTCTTGGCATTATCCTCCACCGCCCCAGGACCGATTTTCTTAACCCTCAAAAAGTGTTTTCGTCCCTGGCATAGTAATATCATTGTATAAAGATTTCATCAAAACCACAGCGGTACTTCTGAAGATATAGGCGGTTATGAGATTAGCGGGCAGACCGATATTTCAGACAGACCGACGGAAATGGGTGACATGGTTTTTCGTAACGTACATGTCATATAACGTACAAAAAATATAATATTTTCAAAATGTTTCGCGACTACAACACATCCTCGCCCAGTGGCGTAGGAAGTAAAATTGCATAAGCAATTTTTGACGTAATTTTGGCCCAGCAACATAAAGATTTGTTGGAAGGGGTCCTTTTTGAATAAATTTATGCGGATATTCCAAATCAGAATATTTTTCCGAGCAGATTCGAAGATGCCACTTGGACTTATATAGTAAAACTGGCTTACGTCTACCATTATACCTTTATTTTCTGACAATTTACAAAAATATAAAAACGTATTATCATACATATTCTTCATACGTCATATCTCCAGAAAAGCTATCGTAATCTTCATATTCTATCTTATTTCCTGCTTCAGGTCCATCGTCCAACCTCTCTATTTTCGTAATAGTTGCTTTTGCAGTGGTAGTTGTTTTCTCTGTAGTTGTAGCCCTTTCCATCGCTTTGGTTTCTACAGTTGAGTTGACGAAACCCTCCAAAAGTTTTTTATGGTGAAGTATTCGATTTCTTTCCTTCAGCCGTTTCCTACGTAAGGCAGCTTCAATGTCAAATTTGGGAGGCCTATAAAGTGAATACTCATAACTGAGGGTGATCGAAAGTAACATATAATGTTCAAGGAAGCGATTCTCATTCTAAGGAAAAATGAATATACCTACTGGACTAAACCAGCGGGTGCGCTCCCGAGGAAGTACCCATTTGTCAGTACAGGTAATTTGTCTTGCATTAGTGAAAGTATGGTTTAGGAGAAATAAATGCAATATTGAAAGTACATACATAAAACTTTACAAATGAACATTTTATCCAACATTTTAATGCAACAATGAATGGATTTCAATGTTTCGCTTTTTTATGTTCTCGACAAAAGTAGTTTACTTGAAAATGTATCTGATCATAAGATGGTTTTGAAGGTCGTGATCAGGTCCATTTACAAAGATTTACTTGAGCTAAGAATTGTCCGTAATTTGCATTTCATGAATTGAAAATAGATGTTTCTTGTTAAAATTCAATCGATCTTCACAAAGACCCTGACGGTCATAGTCAAGGCCATGGACATACTTTTTATTTCCGGTTTTTAAAAAAGAGTTTTTCATTTAAGAAACTGTTTTGACCTTCAAATAAGCGGAAGGTGATGGTCAAGGTCACGGTTAAGCTCATCTTTAGATGAAACTTTTCAAACCCTACAACTTTATTATAGAACATTTTTCTTTATGAAATATTTTGTCCCTTCCCTACTTTTCTGACACTCTCAAATACTCACGAAGATAATAGTCAAGACCATGGGCAAAGATACACTTGAACATGCAATTTCCCGCTCTTTACGATTCCGGTGTCAAAAATAGGTGTTTCTTTAAGAAAAATGTCTCGATATTTAAATGACCTCCAAGGTCTTAGGTAAGGTCACGCTCAAAATCACCGTCAGATAAATCTTTTTGAATCTTGAGGCTAAAACATTTTTCTCTAGAAAACGTATTTTTCGAGATATTTTGATCTATCCATACTTTTTAAACACCCTGAATATAATCACGGATAAAACCATGCCTAGAAACTTCCTCGGGTTTCAATTAGTAAGTATACAAATTCTTACGTCTTTCCGTGTTGTAGTTCAGAGGTGATGCTGACTGACTGAACAGACATTCACAATTATGTATACAGGGGTTTCTGTACTGAAATGGTAGGTAGTACGGATCGAGACTTTTCTATATCTGAATATGAAATTCTAAATTCAGTTCTTACGGATATACGGGCGATTTAACTAAGCACGCCAAACTTTGATATCACGTATCTCAGGCACTATTGAGCCGATTTTGTTAAAATTTCGCAAAATAACAAAGTAACATAGCAATAAGGAAAAACCACACGGACGGTTGAAAAATCGGATTGATTGCTCCGCTTTTGGCTTTTCAATTAAACTCCTTTATTTATCCAAATATCTTTATGTGACACCTAACTAAAAATGTTAAGGACGACCAACTTGGTTGTGTTTTACAAACTAGTGCTTAAAATTGAGCTCAAGATGTTTTGGAAACTCAAAATTGCAGGCCGGATTCAATTTTTTATTTTCTTGTATCTTATCAAGTGCAAAAAGATGAATTCTGCTTAAAGGGGAAACGACATTTAGTATGGAATTCCACTAAATTCAACATTCCAGACCAACTAGAAATTCATTTAAGAATCAACAAAAACGTAGAATGCATGTCCGGACTTGACATTTAATTGTGTGATGTACCATCTGTGCATTATGTAACAAAATCTAACGTAGGGTTATGGTGACAGCACGTAAACGTCACTAGGGTGAATATGTTCCGCATCTGCGTATTAGGCGTTTTCATCATAATTTTGGAATGGTCTGGGGAGTCAAATGCTTTATTTCGTCCGACCAAAAAGCGTCATGTTTAGTTAATTCATTTGACGCATTTTTGTAAGTTCCATAAATACTTTCTTCTTCTTCTGCATAAAAAGAGTTTACATGAAATTTTGAGGTAATTCCTTAAAACCATCCAAATTTCGTTACACTAGCAGTTGCAGTTGGGGTCACGTTAAAAAAATGGCATCAAGCAGGTTGACTGCACTACCTACGCAACGCTGATATCAGTTCATAAACTAAACCCTCTGAGCAAAAAGTCACCCAAACAGGTCCATATAATCAATCCCTAGACAATCCTTCCTTGTACATTTGGAAACGTCGCCTTTCCCCGGCCAGACATGGCAGCGCTGCCAGAGCATAGGAAACTCACCAATGCCGGCGGCAAATGCGGACGATAGGTTCGCGATCCGCACGAGTAATATGTAAAAAACCTATAAAGCATCAAAAAAAAAAACCTGTAAGATGTCATCTTGCCGACTAGGTAGTTTTTCGGATGCAAACCATTATTCCACGTTTGCTCACTAGGATCGTTGTGAGCGTCCATCTATAGAGGAATGGCTCAACTACACGTATACACGCATTGTCGGTTGCATATGTTTTGTGAAGCCGAGTGGTCTATAGTTTTCATCTCTGAGTATCTGATAATAAATTTGGTTATTTGGTTGAATAGCAAGATCGCATCTGGAAGATTGTGTATATTGGTTTGCATGTGTATAAAATCAGTGATATTTGCCGTGTGAGAAAATAATTACTGAATATGCTGCCAATAAAGTATATCTATTAGCTGTGCCCGACGGGTTATTTATATGTTGTCCTTTTGGAAGACAGGTTATGTTCAAAGTTATCAATTACGATTCTTTACGTTTTTTTGTGTTTTCAAAAACATTGAGGAGAATTACAGGAAATCACCACCGCACCCGCCTTGTGTGTATCTAATGTTAGCATGTATATGACTTGTAATTGGACAGTGTATAATTATTTCTTATCTCTCTCATTTTTGAAATTCAGCAAATTTGCATATGTAGATTCCAGAATGGACAACAAAAGTGGATGCCCAACTAATTTCAAACGTTCAATCTCCAATAAGTGTACTTGCAGCACATCATAGCCAAATATTGGCAACTGAATCCTCATGACGTTTAGGCAACACGTACAACTACAAAACGAGTTTACAAAAGTGTCCATCAGCTACTGCTAAGTTAACACCTTGTAGAAAAACCTACATATTGATAAAAAAAAATAGTATAATGTTAAAAAAATCGATATAACATCACTTTTCAAGATACGTAATACCATACTGATGACAGTATTTTTAGTTTTAAGGACTAATGTACGGCAAAGCTTATGATGTGTGAAATATATCTAATAGGTGCATAAAATGACCAAGATTGGGAGCGATTAAATATACTAACATCAAAAAATTGAGATAAACCCTCTCAACACCCCTGCAACCACCACCCCAAAGTTCTTTTTTCTATTTTTTTCAAAAGCGATCAGGGTCCTCTGAAACGTCAAAAAAAAGAAACTTAGAAGGCTTTTCTCTGCCATCAGTGAGCCGATTTTTAAAAATTAACAGCTTTTGTGTCCTTGGCATTTTAGTAACCCTGTGTAAAAATTTTATCGAAATCCGAGAAGTACTTCTCAAGATATAGGCGGTTATAAGATAAATACCTTAAGTGTTGCATCTATCCGGAAAAAAGTTTATAATTCGCACTCACCTCTCACCGTTTAAAAATACTTTGTTCTGGAGATGGACAATATCATGTCTTAGATCAGCCAATAATAAAAGTAAAAAGTCATTGGAACCTCGTTCTCCTTTTTGACCTTTTGGTCCTCTATCTCCAATTTCTCCTTTAGGTCCTTGTGATCCAGGAACACCTATTGGGCCCTAAAGAATGATTTTTTTAATGCACAGTGCAGTAATGGGGAAGCTTATAATATGCAGTATTTTCTAAAAAGGTCCCCTCTCTTACTCGTTGAACGGATCTATTTAGCAAGCTGAAATTCAAGGTGATAAAACTGACGTATGATTACTGCATTTAAAAGTAGAAGTTGCACTGAAAATTTCAAAATGGTAGCTTGGTAACATTTTGCAACAGTTCTAAATGAAATGAGCAGTTATGTGATACCTCGTTTTGAGTACTTTGAACTCCAGAATACGACACCATTTCCCTTTAAAATGATGGACTGATAGGCTATCAAACTTAAGTGTTTCTGTATATTGACTCACTTACGCTGAACACCCAATCATCGAAGCGATATGATGTGTTATATAAATGTTATTCACTTAACACCTACTCGAATGTGTAATTAAATTTGGAATATTCCACTTAAAAAGATGTCGAAATGTGTTTATTTTTTTTAACGAAATGTCGCTTCCTTTACACACGTTTAGATATATGCTTCCAAGCAAAATGGCATCAAGTAAGTTGTACTTTCCACGCAATGCTGTCATCAGTTCGTTTGGCACAAGTTTGCCCGTATGAGAAAAAATTAAGCTACGGAAATGAATAACAAAAAAAATACGTGACCTTACTACTCCTAAGAGTAATTCCTGCAGGCGCACATGATCATTGTGATGACCAATCCTGCGTGAATGTTGGGCATGATGAATGAAATAATGGGTTCAAGTTACTGGAGTTGAAGGCGTAAAACTATATCATCGTCGAGAACCTTTCTTTACACAGTAGCAACCACGCACGCAGCAGCCTAAATGCCAGGGCATCGCTGTTTCTATGAGATGCTTAAATATACCCTAGGAACAAAGGAGCAACCGTATCGGCCAGTTTTGGATCTGTGATCTACGGTTAGGATGGGAGGCGAAAGTGAAGCATGTCTGTAGCAGCAGCGCCCTAAACATACCAGCAATACGCGAAGCTAGGTCTTACCTGGGTCTTGTACACAGTGAGGGGGTCGCGTGGAGAAAGTTACTTCCGAGCCCTCAACTAATATCCTAGCTTTTTCCTAAAAGCTGTCGCTATTGACGAGATATGTTAGGTGAGTACCTAACGCGCTCCTTTTGTTCGTCAAGGTACAGTACCGCGTTTTATAAACATTAAACGGTACAAGAATGTTGCGTCCCTAAGCAGTGATATCCTCCAAATCTCTCGACAGGGAGAAAGTCAATGCTAGTCTTCTTTTCGCCAGTTCACCGGCAGAGATTGGATTGTCACTCTGAATTCTTGCATGTAGAGTGCTGACAGCAGCAAAGGAGGTCGATGATATGTAAGAGAAACAATATCGGAGCCAAGACCGATTCCTGACGAACACCCGCGTTGACGTTACGGGTTGAAGAGGAGAACGGATGTCTTGCGACCATGGAGAGTGTCAGCCACTGCAAAACTGCAAATCTTCTCTGGGAGGGCATTGGATAGAAGTTTACATAAGAGGGCAGCATGCCACAGTTGATCGAACGATTTAGTGATATTAAGAGCAACGACATGAGCCTCACCATAAGCCTGGACGAGTTTACTCCACAATTGCATAACGGAACCGTAAGCTAGGAGGTCCCCTGTGGATTGCTGGTACCGGAAATCAGACTGCCTCTGGATGATCAAGCCGTGACGTTCGAGGTACTCCAGAAGCTCCCGACTTATGCACCCCTCCATCACCGTAATTATAACAGAAACCAGAGCTATAGGTCTATAGTTGTAAGGGTCGTTCTTAGAACCTTTTTTTGGGATGGGTTGGATATGAGAAAATTTCTAGTTTTCTGGAAAGGTGCAGGATTCGTAGGACATCTGGAGAGACGTGAAAGAACTGGAGCAGCCTCCGCTGCACGCCTCTTTGAAATAACGGCAGGAATCAAGTCCGGACCAGAAGCTTTGTTGATGTCGAGCGACAAGAGCACTAGTCTCACGGTCTTATGCCCTTGATTTGACGGCACTCGGGCGGTGGGGTGGGGATGTCCATGGTGGAGTTGGCAGCAAAGATATTGGCAAGCACTTTCGCCTTAGCCTTTGAGTCAATTATAGTCGTTCCATCCTGGTAGGTGGGTGGTGGAAGGCTACTCTGTGAGAAGTTCCTTTCAATCTGCTTGGCCAGCGTCCAGAAAGACTGACTGGCATTGTGCTACGACATAACCCTGTGCGTAATTTTCACGTCGTGCTAGTCTTTGGCATTGCGGACCGCTTTGTTATCGACGTCGGCTTGTCTGTTCTCTACAGTGGGGGTAAGAAGGTTCTGTTTGTCTTGATCTTCTGCTGACGAGCAGTGCCGCACGATTTGTTGGACCAGCCGTTGTACACTGGTTTAGGCACTTTCAGCGTACTGAGGATGTATTTCTCCATCATAACGTGAATAATTTCGAGTATTGATGAACATGAACTAAGTGGTTGAGCGATGTTTTTTTTTTCATTTTTGGCCTTTTTCTCCGCCGCGACTGGACTGGTTCTCAAAAATTACAAACCTTTTTGGTCATTGGCTTAGTAGTAACCTGGCGATAAAATTTCATAAAAATCCGATGGGTCCTTCTCAAGTTATAGCGGGATCAATGATTAGCGGGCAGACAGTATGACAGACATACAGACCGAGGGAAACGAGTGATATGGTTTTTTGTATTCTACATGTCGTATAACATCCAAAAACCATAATGTCTGATTTTCGAAATTTTTCACGATTACATTGCATCCCCGCCAATAGGCGTAGGAACTAAATGAAGATTGCACCATAACCGTGAAAGAGAAACCCTCATTTTCTACTAGTACGCAGCGACAGTGGCGTAGACACTACACACTAAACAGTATCTTAGTCGAACAGATATTGCAAATTTAGCTTACTTGTTCGGATTAAGCTCAGTGTGCCCTTATGCACCCTTTTCAGCTCAAGTCTTACTTTAAGTTTGACTTTAAATTAAGAACAGTGCCTATGTACCGACAGCGTATCTTAACAGGTGAAAACATTTCCGATCCGACAACGCTGCATTTATATCAGTAAACTTAAGCTGTGGCTATGTATCTTGACTGTTGAATGACCTTATTGTCAGATCAGTCTAGATAAATTAGGTCAGCTATATTCAAATATTTATGATTTAATAAAAGCGCGTGCTGTGAAGCCGACTGCAATAAAACATCTCTCTGTGTATTACAATTTATTACTTTAATCAATAACATTACATTACAATGGACAATTAAAATGATTTTCGGAGCATATTAGTGCATGGTCATTTCACTGTGAGTTGAGCCAAATAGAGTCCCATTCATTTTTTGGCTGCTTTACTAATCATTTGGGACCTCTTGTGGGACACGCTTTATAAAGGGTTTAGAAAAGCAGACATGACAGTACGGGAAGCAGAGGCTCGTGAGCTCGAATCTCTGCCTCCAAAGTTAATTCCGAGTCATGGATGTTGTGGTGCGTTGTCTTATCACGCACGAGATCAGTGCAATATCAACATATATCGTATCGTTATAACTGGTTTATTTAATAATAATAAGTTATCGGTATATGGGGAAACCTTGTCTGACGGCTTGAGTATAATGTGTATGAGAGACAAGCGCGATAAGTGTGTATGTTAGAAAGAGATAGAAGCCGCATGGTCAACGAAGGTGATCACCACATTGCCTAGCAACGGTGGCGCAGAAGTCATGCAATCTACCGCGTTGGCAATATGTTACACCACAAACTGTTCGCACAGGCTGATAGGTTACTGTCAAACCCAAGAAGGAGGTCTGTTGGAACATTCAATTTAATGTTTTGTTTTCATTTAATAATAGAGGTGGAAAACTTATTTATCTTGGAGTGTAGAAGATGCAGTGTTATTAAACGAACCAGTGATGCAATGTAATCAGATTTATGCCGATCCTGACCTTTCATTTCGACCTAAAATGGAGCGCCGTTAGAACCAATCCGGAATCGATCCTAAACAGATTCGACACTATTCACAAGTCAAAAATGCGTATGCTCAAAATAAAACCATTATTTGGGCGTAAAGAATAAACTATAAATGATTTCAATATATATCTTAATTCAACGAACTGGTGTAACATATTGGCAACACGGCGATGAACTTCGCTATCCGCCCAGCTCTCTTTGTAACTTGTTTCTATATACACTTCTCTCTCGTACACGATTTCATCACTTTATCTCTGTAGATCCTTTGGGCTTGAAGTACCACAGCAAGTGGCTTTAACCGGTCTCGTGGTTGTGGTTACATGTCTCCTTAAAAATTCGAGGTCTTCTAGCCATTTCATACTACAATGTGTAGGTTGGCCAGGTTACACCCGTATCCGGATGTGTGGGCATGTACTCGTATATCTACTTTGGTAGTTACATATGAGCATTCATTTCGGGCCTGATGAAGCCAACCAGCAGAAATACGTATCGCTCAGGTTATCTATCCTATTTTCTGCTCGAATCCACTTTCCTCCTTTTTGCGGATTTTGCCCATTATTTTCCTACTTTTTGTTATACAATACCTTTCTCTGCAATATTCTAAACTGAAGGCTGCTTATCCAGAGTCCTTTCTCGAAGATCAACGCTTCGAAGTACATCAGTGATATAACTGACCATTTTTTGTCACTAGTGATCCAGATCTCTACATTAAAAAAGCTATGCCAAACGAAAGCAAAAACGAAAATAGAAACATAAAAAATGCCGAAAAAGAAAATGAAAAGGGATTTCAACTGGAAGATGTGATAAAAATGAAGGATTATACAATTCACATACAAGATTTATTGATAAAAGAGCTGCAAAAAAATAAATCATAATATATGCAAGCGAAATTAGACGAATTACAAATAGAAAAAAATTAAACTAAATCAATTGCAGATGCTGTGAAGTACAGGATAGAAAAGGTAGTAAATCTAGATAAAGACATTGACATTACTGAAGTTCCCACTCTATCTAACAACAATAAAACAGAAACACAGGCAGAATAGCGAGTAACAGTCATTTTTTTTTATATCGAAACAGCCGCGCAGGCAGAAGTCTAAATGCCGGAACACCGCGGCTGCTATGATGATCCCAAAGCAATTTTGTTATGTTGTTTTGTAATGATACAAACATTAATAGAAATTTGGTTACTTCTACATTACAGCCAGAAAACGATAAAAATCAACACACACAAAAGGTACTCAGCAAATATATAAATCCTGCAAAAATAAATGTCTCCATAAAAAGAAAATAAGCGATCAGAAAGATAGGGCGGTGAAAATTCAATGTAATAATGTTGACGACATCACAAAATTGAAGTTAGAAGTAGAAAAACATATAGGACACAGTTATAAAGTGACTGTTGATCATAGGAAGTTACCAATGATTAAAGTTGCAGGCTTCAGTAACGACTTAAAAAAAGAAGGACTGATTATGGATTTGAATGAAAGAAACAATATTATTAGCAGTGATTCGATGATTAATTTAGTGGCAATTAAAAAGATGAAATACAGATATCAAGCAATTCTCGAATTATATGAGCAAACATTCAAAATAATTATGAAAGAAGGCTTACTGTTTGTATCAATGGATTTGTGTACAGTGTTCGAGCATTATGATCTTCTGAGGTACTTTAACTGCTCAGGATTCCACTATACAGCTAAAAAATGTACAAAAAAGAGTGTTTGCATAAAATGTGGTGGCCATAAGTCTCAAACCTGTAAGACACCAAAAAATAAGGTGATTTTTCCGAACTGCAAGGAATCAAATCTGAGGTATAATACAAATTCTGACAGAAACCGTTCAACAAAATATGTAGAATAATACAAATGGAATATGAGAATTCAAAAAACAAAGATTTCTATGGAGAGAGATCATAGTAGCAATTTTAAACAAAACAAGCTGTAAACTTTATATACCACTGAAGCATTCAAGGATTTTTGTCACATAAAGGTGAGGTTTTAAATTTCTTGGTGTTAGAGAAACCATTAATAATTTGCTTAACAGAAACACATACCTATAACAGAAGATATTGAGAAAGGAGAAATCGATATTCACGGCTATCAAGTTGTAAAAGTAAATTCTGTTTCCAAGCATACAAGTCGTATATAGATATATAGCATTGAAGTCAAAGTACAGAACATTGAAGTTGTTGAATGTCAGTGGTGGTACATCAATCTCGAAATAAGGAAACAAAAAATTACAATCTGTATATTTACTACGGATCTCCAAGTGGAAGCGTCAATCGATTTATTGAATGTATTGAAAGTATGTGTGAAAAACATTATTACAGGAAATGCACAAACGTAAATTTACTAGACTCTAATATAAATTTTGACAGTAAAGATTTCTGTTAGGAAATTTAGACACGTACTAAACATCCATGGATTATGCCGATTATGGCAGCAAATCACTTTATGTATCATACTTCAAATATGTTCAATGAAAATAAATGAAAGAAATTTCAGTAACTGATTTCACAAAATTACGAGAAACACTTTCACAGCACAGTATACCTGAAATTATCAATAATGTGGACATCTACTTCGAACAAGTTATGGATAATATGGATAAATATCTGATCAAGGAAATAATATATGAAAGAGTCAACTCAAACCCTGGTATTCACAAATATTCAAGGAGTCTAAATTAAAATGCGATTGCGACTACAGAAAATTTTAGTAACTCAAAGTGAAAATGATTGGAAACAATATACAAAATTAATAAATGACTGTTTAGCAGTTCTCAGGAGCGAAAAAAAAAATACCATGATCAGAAGATCGATAGCAGTAAAAATAATTCTAAAGTGATGTGTAAAACAATAAAGAATACGTATTGTTTCCCCTAATAGAAAGACTGATTTACCTAAAATGCGTTTCGAAGATGGGGTAGTGACAGAAAAATTAATTATAGCAGAAAGAAAGGACACCTATTTTATAGACAGTGTAAATCAAATAGTGAAGGTGATTGATGACGGTGATCCAAACTTATGTCCATTACAAGTATCTCATAATTCATCAACGAATCATAGCTATATATATACATATATCACATAAGCATTTGGACACTGCCTTAGAACTGTTAAATAGTGATATTAAAAAAAATATGAATTGGTTAAATGTTCATAAAATTAAATTAAACACTAATAAAACAAAATGTATGTCAGTAGGGAAACCTTTAGGTGACCATACAATTAAGCCATGATTAATGATGAAAAAATGTAAGTAGTCGAATCATTAAAATATCTGGGTATATATGTGGATAGTAAACTACCGTTTCACGGGCATTATGAATACATTATTTCAAAAATATCAAAATTCATAAATTACTTCTATAGAGTTTCCCATAATCTTAGCATGTATTCCAAAAGAAAATGTGAATAACACTATAATTCTTCCCCATTTTTTATACTGTTCAACCACCTTGTTTACAGCAATAAAAACATATTTTCAAAATTACAAATTCTACAAAATAAAGCTACGAACATCATTTTAAATAAGAACAAATATGCTAGGATTAAGACTATGTTAGAAGAAACACAGTAGCTGAATATGAAAAATTTCATATGTTATTTAGTTCTCGTTTTCATATTGAAATTAAAAAATAATTTATTACTACATTTAGAAAACTTCACAAAATTAAATAGTCATTGCCATAACTACGAAACTAGAGGCAGTATACATTTTCGTCTGCAAAATTGTTATATTAGCATAACTAGTAAATCTATAATTCAAAACGGAGTATTTGACTTTAATAAATTGAATAATGATACTATAGAGTGTTCGAATTGAATAATGTTTAAGGGGGAATTAAAAATCACTATATGAATACTCAAAATATATAGTGATGTAATTTTAATAGACAAGAATGAAAAATTACAGAAAATGAATTGAATAAAGATATGTAAGCGAATAATTATACAAAATTGACATTGTAGCTAAATAAATCTTCAACAAATACACAAACAAAATATTTTCAGATTTGTTTCTAGCATTCCTACATTATAGGCAAAGACTGTCTCGTAAGCTTGAACTTCCTTGTACCCTTAACTGCTTCTTCTTCTACGTTAAAATATGTAGGGCGAAACATTTTTGAAAAGCAATATATCAGTTAGTATGAAAATAATCAAACATATGTGGTTTCATTCAGCGGCCAGACAATCATGGAGACCTGTATATATTTGTCAAATATTTATATGTATATATATATCCGACTGAATGATATAAAATGACATTTAAGTACTGATAAGTAAGAAAAATAAGTCATACTTATATAGAAATGTGTTCTATTACCTGAGAACCTCTCTTGCATTTACATTGCACATTTTCATTATCTCCTAGGGGCACGAAGGCATCCAGTACTGAATAAGTATAATCAACGCTCCCACTATTAGTCGTTATCGAGTTGTCCGAACCTGAAACGGCCAATGAAAATTTCCAGGATAATAATTATTATCTATGCAGTGTGGCTCTCACCACCTGGGTTATCCTAGTACCATATGATATATAAATGAAAGAAAGAAAGCTTTTATTGAGCTATTATCAAAACGAACTAAACACTTAAGAATGTATTTTTCCACATAGAGAAAACAGGGTTAACTATATAAGCAGTGGTTCTAGAAAATTCTCATTATCCGTAGTAATTGTTTTAATGACTCTAAGTAACTAAATTTTTGGTTTAATTAAACTGAAATTTCTGGCTCCAGTTTAATTGAAAAAAAAAAACTATTAAATTACTTTACTTGAAAATAGCAAACCATTTATCTGTTTTACTAAACTGTTTAGTTAGTTTAGGTAATTTAGTTTATGTAGAAAATGTACATTTTAAACAATTAATGTTTTAATGGAAACTGTTGAACTGTGTATTTCATTCGTGAATGGTCAGACAGACGCAGTGCCGGTGGCACGCTTGAAACTCCTCAGTTTCACTTTCGCGAGGAGCTTCATGTTCGAATGTTGCCGTTGTAGATGTAGTAGCTGAGGGGGATCAAACATAGTGATCAAGTGGAATACCCGCTTAATGTCAAAAAACTATTTTTGGACAAAGCTTAACATCGGTTTGATGTGCTTTTATCTTACATTATATAATAATACTAATATATACTTATATATTATAGAATTGAGCCGACTGTTAACAAGGTGTAGACAGAATTGTGGAAGACTTTAATAGCTATGACCCCTACATCCAATTCACCATCGAAAAAAAACGATGGGAATCAATCTGTTCCTTTTATGGGAACAAGGCTCATCCGTAACACCAACAACAGTTTATCAATTTGGTAAAGCAAATCAAAAAAAAGGTAATTACCATATCCGACAGTACTTTCCAAACTTCAAAACTATGGAAGCTCTCTAAATTGGTAATAACGGATATCCGAAGTATTTGATCAACAAAATCCTGTTCAGTTCCTCTTCCAATGTTTTGTTAAATAATAATAATGCAAATAATATTCCTACAGCTCCAAATAATATAGTAGACACAATTACCAATAATAACAATAATATTTAAGTAATATGGTTACCACCCCAAATTCCAGACCTGGTTTTGCTGTTTTACCCTACATCAAAGAATAAACCCCCAAACTGATCAGACTATGTAGCTCGTTGAATTGTCGATTTCCTTGTATGTTCCGTTGCTTAGCTTATCCAATGAGAAGGAGGATAACTTCACATAAAAGTGATTGCAGATTGCATCCTGAGAGATGTGCCCTGGCATCACATGTAAACACAACAGGACATTCAATGAATTATATGAGTATCAAAGTTCTTGTTAAGGAAGAACGTCAATCTATCCAAGCATTTGTTCCTGGAGATGTCCCACAAAGTTCATCGAAAGCTAGAGAAATAAAGTAATAAGCAAATTGGACCCTCACTATTTCAATCTCGGGAACTGTAAGAGATACGAAGTCGCTTAGATAGGGGTGGAGTTGCTTTATATCAATTATATGCCGCTTAGAAAGTATATCCGGAGAGAGACGGAAAAAACCGAATTTTCCTAAACGTTTTAATTTTTTCCTGACATTATTTGTAGTGTGATTTCAAAATAAATTGCCCATTAACATACCCACTTTTTGTCCTCTAATAGATGATCTAATTCGAATTCCAATATGACATTTCGTTTCTTGTCCTCCAGCATCAAGTTTATTTTTTCTTATGGACACCATATTGGATTTTTGAACAGATCTAATATGGTGTCCATAAAGAAGAATAAGGTTGATGCTGTATGACAAGAAACGAAATGTCAAATTGGAATTCTAATTGCGCCATCTTGTAGAGGAGAAAAAGTGGGTATATCAATGTGCAATTTATTTCAAAATGGCACTACAAATAAAGTAAGTAAAAAGTTAAAACGATTTTGGGAAAATTCTATTTTTTAGTAGTACTTTGAATTTCGAAACGTTTTAAGTGGCATTTTATTAATTACTTAAATACGCAACTTTGCTCCCACTTAAGCGAGTACGTGTCTCTTTCCGAGATCCCAATGGCGACGATCGAATTTGAAACACCCTGTATATCTCTATACAGGGTGTTTCACAACTTATCCGACAAATTCTAACCACATATGCACTGCTATGAAAGAAGTTGATTTCTCAAAAAAAATTTCATAAATGTCCTACAGGAGTTAAGTTATAAATCTGAGTTTCAATAATAAATTGAAAAATAAATATCTGTATTTTGCGTTCATCGTCGTGATATTCGAACACGCATTAATAATTTATTGTAGCACATGTTCTACCAAACAACTGACGAAAACAAAATAGCAGGAATTTTTTGTTTTTTCATACTGATAAGAGCGTGTAAATAAGGATTGATGTGTATCGTGAGTGATCTGAATGAAGAACAGTCCATTTTTGTGAAGTTAAATAAGAAAGCATTTTGCGAGCTCATGTCTTTAGTTATTTATTATCATTATTATTTATTGTTTATTGCAAACCGATGTCCGAATAGGCACATACCAGATCACGAAACATTTAGTTCAATTATTGTTTTAGGTGCACGTGCTAGTGGACATTTGCGCCTCAGACGTGGAGTGGATGGGGATACCGTACTCCAGTTCAGAATATTGAAGAATTGCGTGATCGAGTCACAGTGGCTGCCGATAATTTGAGCCTTCAGGCACAGGAGGAAGGAGGTGTATTTGAATTAGTGCGCCGAAATTGGATTAGACGCGCCCAAGCTTGCATTGCAGTCAATGGAAACAATTTTGAACAGCTTTTATAAGCAAAGTGGACTGTTAAACTGTATTGTTTTGTTATCTCGATTTTTGTAGGACTTGTATTACATTTTTTTTTTTTGAGGAATCAACTTCTTTCGTAACAGTTCATATGTGGTTAAAATTTGTCTAATAACTTGTGAAACACCCTGCATATATAACAAATAAAAAATTTCTCTTTTTATATATATATACAGGGTGTTCCTTAATGATATGCGAATATTTAAGGGTGTGAATCTACATGAAAAATTAACGTTAGTTTGCTTTATAAACTGTGGTCCAAAAATGTTTCCTCACAAAAACTCGAGGTGCTGAATTTTTAGGAAAAAATGTAAATTAATTAATATCTTCAGAACCGCTTCAGATATTTCACTGATATTTAGTACGTAGTGACCGTTAATAAAGTTACATATTTTTCAATGCAAAAATAATTTTTAGCTTTAACAGAAGCGTGCGTACGGGTATTGAACTTTATTTTTTAAGAAAGAAATGGTAGAGCAATGGTTTTGTGCCAAATAAAAATTATTTTTGAATTACCTGTTCAATTTAAAACAAATGATCTTTCAAGAGTTGCTTTCCTTCGATGCGCCATTTTTGAGTAAAAAAAATAAAAACCGTTTTATTGTCTAACTTGCAAAATTATTATTAATTCAATTGGAAAAATTAAATACATTAGGGGTAATGGACAACAACAACTGATAACATGAACATAACATTAAAACCAACGAAATGATTACAGAAATTGTTGAAAATGGCCTCCTTCACTTTAGTATGCAAGCTTCCGCGCCCCTTCTCATGGAATTGCGCACGCGTTGAAATATCCCTGGAGTGTTTTTTATTCTATCACAAGCTGCAACTATTCTGTCTCTTAATTCCTCTACAGTGTAAATGGGACGTGTGTACACTAGTGTCTTAAGATAGCCCCACAGAAAGAAATCTAAACTGTTGAGGTCTGGGGACCTTGGCGGCTATTCTTGGGTCCCACCGCGGTCAATCCAACGATTTGGATAAACAGTTTGTAAATAATTAAGAACCACTACCCTGAAATGCGCTGGTGCACCATCATGCATGTACCACATATTGTTTCTTATTACTAATGGAACACCATCAAGCAGCAAAAGCAACTGTTGTGGAAGAAATTTGAGATCAGTCTGTCCGTCAAGTCGTCCCGGCAAGAAGAATGGGCCAATAAAGTCGTTGCCAATAATTCCTGCCCAAACGTTAATCGAAAATTGGTGTTCCAAATGGGTTTTGGTTACGGCATAGGGATTTTCTTCTGCCCACAAATGATTATTGTGGAAATTCTGAATGGAATTTCGAGAAAAATTAGCCTGGTCCGTGAACAGAATCATTGATTCAAATTGCGGACATACCACTGACAAAAGGTCACACGCCTTGGAAAATCAATGGGAAGTAATGCCTGTACTCTTAAAATATGATAAGGATATAACAAAAAATCCATTAAAATTCTCCAAGAATTTGATGGCAAATATCTAAGTGTCTAGCGATCCTCCTTGTACTCGTTTCAGGATGTTCTTCAACTTCTTGCAGCACTGCTTCTTCAATTTCAGGTGTTCTCACACTTAGAGGTCTACCTTCAGATGTTCCTTTTCGGACAGAACAAGTTTCAACAAGACGACGATGAATATTAAAAAGGGTTCGACTATCTGGCAAAGCACGTGCGGGATATCTGTGGTGATAAATCAGTCTGGCTTGCTCACCATTACCGTCGGCAAGGCCATATGCGTAATGCATTTCCACCATTTCTGCATTTGAATAATTCACCATTATTAACAAGATTGTAAAAACTGAATAATGAAAAAAATGTCAGAGCGAACAGATTTCTTGTCAGATGTCAACAGCCAATGACATATTCCAGAGCAGCTAGATATTTATTGCTAAATTGCATTCTTCAATAATTATTACATTAGTTTTCTCGGACAATAGAACGGTTTTTATTTTTTTACTCAAAAATGGCGCATCAAACGAAAACAATTCAGGTGTGATAATTTGTTTTAAAATGAACGGGAAATTCAGAAATAATTATTATTTGGCAAAAAACCAGTGGCGTACCATTTTTTCTTAAAGAATATCGAACTCAATACCCGTACGCACGCCACTGTTAAAGCTAAAAATTATTTTTGCATTGAAAAATATGCAGCTTTATTAACTTTCACTACGTACTAAATATCAGTGAAATAT